ATGTAATTAATTCGAAATAAATCAATCCAGGGGAATTATTCTGCCTGGAAGCCTTAAGCACAATATAATTTATAACAAGAACAAAGAAACATAATCTAATATTATATAGCTGGAATCGAATTAAATTACATCAAATCCCTAGTAAAAGTTTAGCTAGACATAGTAATTAAATTCAAAAACTCCATACACTTGAAACATCATTCAATCATCATTTAAAAGAAAAATAATAAAAGCAGAAACAAGATGGAAGAGTTTAGAATAAAAATGTATCACATACTATGTTATGATGGCTCCTTGAAATCTTTAGCCCAATTTGAAGCTTGAAGTTCTTTTGAGAAGAAGAGAATTATGTAGATAAGGGTGTATAAAAACGAGATCAAGATCCTTTGCTTGAGAAGTTTTCATCTTAATATAGAGGTCTGAAGGCAAGTCTGACTCCTTTTAGGAAATAAGAATCCCTTATTTAGTGTAAATCCTCTATAGGAGATCAATGACTGTTTAGGCTCTTGATTTCTTCTTGATTAGGACTCCTTTTTCTTCTCAGAATAGGTCCAGGTCTTGTTTAAGTGTGTTTAGGAAACTCCTTGAAGTCGGCCCATGTGAGAAAACTTTATTTGCAATATTATTCACAGCTGGTTCCGGCCTGCAGCAGCCAGCACGGGCGTGCTTAATGGCACGGGCTGGGTGTGCTTTAGCCTGGAAGTCTGGCTAGTGAAACACGGGGCGTGCTAGGTAGCACGGGCTAGTGAAGCAGTGAGGCACGGGCGTGCTAATGAGCACGGCTAGGGCGTGCTCTTCTCTAGAAGTCTGGCTAGTGAAGCACTGCGGCATCTCCTGAAGATTTGCGCTCGCGAGTTGTAGATTCGCGCTCGCGGGTGTTGGTCGCGCTCGCGTATGTGAGATTCGCGCTCGCAAGTTGTGCGGCCTAACTCTCTGCCTCTCGTTTGCGCAACTCGCGCTCGCGTGGTGTAGATTTGCGCTCGCGCATCTGTTTTGCGCAACTCGCGCGTGCTTCGGGGCGCGCTTTAGACGTGCTGGCTTCTCTCCTCATGGCACGGTCGTGATCTGCTTGACACGCCCTGATCCTATTGTAGCACGGGCGTGCCTTCCAGCACGGGCTGGGCGTGCTAGAGGCTGAGTGCCTTGCATTCTAAAATTCTTTTCTGCGCCAAATTTCTGCAATTTTCTCTGCAATTTTCTCTTAGATCAAGCGGATTAAAGAACCAAGGAAGCTTTTAAACATTAATTATACTAAAGTGATTTAAAATTAAATTAGAAGTAAAAACTTACTAAAATTCTAATAAAAATTATATAAAAAATTAATAAATTTACACTTATCAAAATTCCCCAAACTTTAAGCCATTGCTGTCCTCAAGCAAACCTAAAAGAAAAAATTTAAATTTGATGATCCTAGTTTAACATGGTTTTGGAGAATGATTTCCAATAATCTTTCAATGATATCACGATTAAGTAAACAAGTGAAAATAAACTCAATCGTTCTTCCATGCTATCATACTTAAGTTTGATTTTATTTGAATAAAACATTCATTGAGTAAATACAAGTTTAAAGAGATTGTCAACATAATATTTTATCAAATTATGATAAAATAGGACATGAATTAGCTAAGGAATTTTTCAACCTTTCAAAAAATAAGGCAATTGATAGTTGCAACAGTGGCATTCCCATATTGCAGAATTTAGTCATTCTTTCTCCAACGATTTAAATGCTATTACAAATTAAAAGATCAAAAGGTCTTTATTTTGGGTTGTAATGGGGCTTTCTTGGTGCAAATTTTTGCTTAATCAAAAGAAAGGATAAAAGGGTAGTCAAAGAATACAAAAGACTGTATAATTTTCAAGATTCTATTTTAATCACACTTTTACTAGTTCTAGGGAGTGTCTGTTTTGAAGCTTTCTTACTAGCTGGAGGCATCTTGTGGAAGGTCTTTTCTTAATATTTTGGTACTTTTCTTCCTTGCTTTTCCATTCTTCTTTCATTCTTTTGATTGCTTTTTACGTGCCCCTTTCTTGATTCTTTCTTCTTTCTGTCTTTTCTTTTATTTTGCTAGGTTTTGATTGAATGATTCTCCCTCTTTGTTGCTAATATTCTAAATAAAAATCGAATCTTTTTAATCATAACAATCCTTTGTACTTAGGGTAAGAAAGATTTGAATTTGGCTTTAATGGTTAGTTATTGATGGTGAAGAAGAAAAATTGTACGTTAAGGCTTCAAGTGGGTTTCAAAGTCATATATTTTGTTTAGGTAGTTTATGGCTATATAGGTGGTCAACAAAAATTGCCTAAAATTCATCTCTTTCAAGATGTAATCATTTAAATTCTCGCCTCGAAGGAAGTTCTAATTTTGTTCTAGGAATGCAAGTTTAAAATTTACTTTAGAGTAAAACACACCTTTATTATCTAACTTTCCATTAAAAAATCAGTGTTTAAAAAGTCTAGAAACAAATAGTTTAGATCAATGAACATGATTTGAGTTCAAAAATTCAAATTCCCAAACTTAATACTGGACAAATAGATATATGAAATCGACTATTTTGTAAACACTCATTACTAGACATGAGAACTTTCATTTCAAGCTTACTTGTAATCATTCCAAAAATGTTAAACAAAAACAAAATAAAATAACAAAAACAAAAAAAAATTTCTTTTGCCAAAATTCCCTTCCCCCAATTCAATCAATCACATTGTCCCCAATGTGCATAAATTCCCCACACTTATTGCATTACTAGAAGGAAAACAGTAAGAGAGAAGAAGAAGTCTTACCAACATTGTATTGAACAATACAATAGAACCGGTGTGGGAAGAGTCTTAGCTAAAAGAGCAACTAAACATTAAGAACAAAACAAACTACTAAAAAGTTATAAAAATTCAAATAACAAATAAACTAAAGTCAACCAAGACCAATGTATTAAATAAACAAAAATAAAATAAAGAAGAAAAGGTGAAGAAATCGTCCAATGCTCTGGTGGTGAGTGGCTGCGCAGAAGCTGGAGGATGGTCTGGAGTGGCCTTGCATGGTTCATCCGAGAATCAAGACCTACCGTTCATGATTTCTCAATGGACTGGAACGGTCTGCATCATTGTTTCCATCTTTTAAGGCGCCGTGTCCAATAGAGGTCCAGTCCGAGACGATCATTCTTGCAAGGACTTCATCATTCGACATGTTGGTTGGCTTGGAACGATGGACCAGCACCGATGTACCCTGCACCAAAAGAAGAGGTTAAAAGTGGAGATTGTCCTCCTCCATTCAGCCACCGCCTGCGGCCTCTGCTCCGTGCATGATTCAGAGTCAGTCCTCTGGGCACCGATTACCCGAAATGCAGTCTCCTACTTCTCAATCAACATTCATGTGTATCATAACATTCAACATCCAATCTGCGGTAACCACGCCCCCCTTCCTATGCTAGCATTAAATTGCGGCTTAGCCGGGTTCCAAAACTGTAGCATATTAGCAAATTAGATATCTAGCAATTCGGGTCACAAAACACCCCATCATTATAGTTCCTTTGTCAGCTCTTGCCACCTTCGCAAATCTCTGGCAGAGCCAATACCCAACATTTAATAGAACCCCATTTTCGATCGCCCATAGAAAATATAATTCGTTTAAACCTAACACTCCATCACTTTCACTCCTTCCAAATATAGTGTTTGACAAAAATTTATGAATGTACCGCAAGGAAGGTTTTTTTAATTTGGATGCCTTCGAATATCTAGGATTGTAATTTAATTCACTTGTAAAATCTCGCCAAGTATTTCGTGCACTAAAATCACTAGATATTTGGTTTTGACTATTTTCTGTGGGGAAACCGAAAATTTGGCTAATCTCATTCACAGACATTTCAAAATCCTGACTAAGAAGCCTAAGTTAACCCTGTCTTGTGGTGCGTGAATAGGCCAATAATGGAATAAAAAGCGCGATAGGAAACTCAGAAATTCTAGAGTTAGAGGGGGGCATAGAACTAAGTCGCTTCAAATCAGATAAATTCCCCCCCCATCCTATTCTCTTAAGTGGCTCTAAACACAATATCTCTAAGACCACTTGTGCTAACGCAAGTTCTACACTGGAAATTCTATCGGTAAAATAGGCCGAAGAGATAATTTGTGTACCTTTTTCTTTTGATCGGAATGAGGCGAACTCAAATGGAAGTGCAGGAGGTGAGAAGGAGGTTGAGGAGCCGTGGAAGATCGCGTAGTTGCGCGGTTTCGAGCAGCAACGGAGGATGCGGGTCTGCTGCGTTTGTATTTAGGAGGCATTGTTGGAGTTGATTATGTAAAAATTTTGAGTGGAGAGTGTTTTGATTGGAGAGAAAAGGAGAAGAAAAGAGAAAATTTTAGAGAAAAGAGGTGACGGCTAGGGCGTGCGGGGTGGAAAAGAGATATTTTGAAAGCGTGCTCTCAAAATGGCGTGCTGATTAGCACGGCCTGGGCGTGCTCTCTTCTGACCTGCAAAAACAAAAATGGCGTACCTGGCACGGGCGTGCTACATAGCACGGCTTGGGCGTGCTCTTCTCTGCCTCTCAAAGGTGCTTTCTCGCGCCCGCGCATATGAAAGTCGCGCTCGCGAGTTTCTCGCGTCTTCTGGTCTAATTGCATCTGATACTCAGATCTGCTTGTCGCGCCCGCGTATATGAATGTCACGCTCGCGACTTTCTCTTGCAAACCTTCTGACTCTTTTTTTTTTTTTTTTTTTAATCTGTCGGCTCGCGCTTGGAATGTCAGCGCTCGCAAACTTGGGTTCGCGCCCGCGTATTCTGAGCGCTCGCGCTTGTGAATGTCGCGCTCGCGACTTGGGCGTTTTTCTTTGTTGAGACTTGCTTCGTAGCGCGACTTGGGCATGCCACTTAGCATGGCTAGGGCGTGCTTAGTTCTTGAGTTCCACTTTTTCCTACAAAAACTCTTAACTAAACAGAAGAACACTTATGGAGAAAATTTGGGATTTTGACAAATAAAATAGGGAATAAAAATAAATAAATGGACGAAAATTTAATAAAAATATATAGGTTGTCTCCCATGAGCACTTTTGTTTAACGTCGTTAAGTTCGACGCACTTATCTGAATTTAGGCTAGGCAAGACCAATTGTAGTCTTGATGGGTTCAAAGGTTTCATTATAATAGCTTCTCAAACGTTGAGCATTTACCTTGAAACTTCGATTCGACTTACCATCCACTATCTCAATCGCGCCATGAGGAAAGATTTCCTTGATTGTGAATGGTCCAGACCACCTAGAGCACAACTTACCAGGAAATAACCGAAGTCTAGAGTTATAGAGCAACACCTGCTGGCCTACCTTTAGATCCCTCATTATAATGCGCTTATCATGCCATTGTTTAGTGCGATCTTTGTATATTTTGGCATTTTCATAAGCGTGAAGGCGCATTTCATCCATCATGTTTAGCTGTACAAGCCGTTTTTTTTGTCCCACTTCCTTGGCATTAAAGTTGAGAAATTGAATGGCCCAAAATGCCTTGTGTTCTAACTCTACAGGAAGATGACAAGCCTTACCATACACCATGCGATATGGAGACATACCTATAGGTGTTTTGAATGCAGTTCTGTAGTCCCATAGAGCGTCGTCTAGCTTTTTGGACCAATCTTTTCGTGATTGTCCAACAGTGGTTTCGAGGATCTTTTTGATTTCTCTGTTAGTGACCTCTACTTGTCCACTGGTTTGAGGATGGTATGGAGTACCTACTCGATGAGTGACACCATATTTTGCAAGAAGGGAGTCTAAATATCGATTACAAAAATGCTTACCTCCGTCCGTGATTATCGCCCTGCCTCGCCGTCCGTCGTATTTACTCCATGCCCTGTGATTATTGCTCTTGGAGTACCATGCCTTGTAAAAATGTTTTTCTTTATGAAGCTCATCACACTTTTGGCATCGTTATTTGGAAGAGCAACAGCCTCTGCCCGTTTTGATACATAATCCACCGCCACTAGAATGTATTGATTTGAATATGATGGCGGAAAAGGTCCCATGAAGTCCAGACCCCATACGTCGAAGATTTCGACTTTAAAGATGCTATTTAGGGGCATTTCGTGTCTCTTCGAAATGTTACCTAACCTTTGACAACGATCACATAGACGAACATAGTTATAAGCATCTTTAAAGAGATTAGGCCAATACAAACCGCTTTCTAGTACAAACCGCTTTCTAATTTACGCGCAGCTGTCTTGTTCGCTCCAAAGTGACCTCCACATTCCATTGAATGGTAGAATTTAAGGACACTTTCCATTTCAGTTTTCGGTATACATCTCTGGAATAGTTGATCACTGCAATATTTCAACAAAAATGGCTCCTCCCAATAGTAAAATTTGATATCATGAAAAAACTTTTTCCTTTGTTGGTAAGAAAAATTGGGAGGAGGAATTTGCAGGAATTTTAGCCAAACAAGATAATTAACTATGTCAGCGATACCAGGGGGTTTGAGCATATATTGGCCTACTAGAAGAGTTGCTCATCGGGGAACTAGTTCATTGAATTTGCAGCTGTTGTATCTTCTTCCCAATGGTACAAGCCTGGAAAGATGGCAGAACGAGGTTCCTCGGTCCCCTTGTTTGTGCGAATTTCTAGCGTCACACTCTGCATAATAGAAGTCACCCCAGCGAATGAGTCTGGCTCTTGCCATCTTTCCTTCTCCAGCAAAGTATTTAATCGGCCGGAGTGGACCTTCTGTGTAGACTAATTGTTTTAGCTCAATTAGATATGCCTTGAATTTGTCAAAAGCAGCAAAAACAATAGCTAGCAGCTCCTTTTCCGTAGTTGCATAATTTAATTGTGCATCATTCAATGTGCGACTTGCATAATAGATAACATGCAACTTCCTGTCTTTTCTTTGTCCGAGAACAGCTCCTACAGCAGATCACTAGCATCACACATGAGTTCAAAGGGTGAAGTCCAATCTGGTGTGGTGATGATCGGGGCTGAGATTAACTCCTTCTTTAACCTATTAAAAGCATCTAAACAATCTTTGTTAAATTCAAAAGGAACATCTTTAACTAGTAGATTGCAAAGAGGTTTAGTGATTTTTGAGAAATCCCTTATGAATAAATCCCTTAAATGAATCTTCCGTAAAACCTGCATGCCAAGAAAACTCTATGTCTTTTACTGTGTTAGGGGGAGGTAGTTTTTCAATTACCATAATTTGGGCCTTGTCACTTCAATCGCCTTTTGATTAGATTTTATGTCCCTAGGACAGATCCTTCACTAACCATAGAAGTGACATTTTTCCCAATTTAACACAAGGTAGTATCTTCACATCGTTGCACTCACTAAAGATAAATTATGAGGCATTGCAATCGAAGGAAGAACAAACACTAGAAAAATCATACACATGAATATTTCAGATAAATTTTTTCCAACCAATCAGAAAAAAATGGACATCATGCACCTTTGAAAGGTTGCAGGGCAATTGCATAAGCCCAAAAGGCATTTTTCCTATAGGCAAAAGTGCCAAATAAAAGAGACAAGTGAAAGTAAGTTTTCTCTCTTGGTCTTCAAGGGGCTATAGGTATTTGGAAATATCTGATAGCCATCTAAGAAACATAAAAGGATATCTGCAGCCTTTCAAGCATATTGATCAAATAAAGGGAAGGGGAAAGTGATCTTTGGCGTGTTGCCTTATTTAATTTTCCTATACATCTATACACCACACACGCCAACTTGTGACTGTTATAGTGGGAATTAATTCATTGTTTTCATTAGAGATGACAGTCATACCTCCCTTCTTTGGAACAACTTGGACAAGACTCACCCAACTACTATCGAAAATTGGATAAATAATGCCGGCATCCAGAAGTTTTATAATTTCACCCTTGACGACCTCCTTCATATTTGGATTCAATCGCCTTTGATGTTCGATTGAAGGTTTGTAGTCTTCTTCCATCAGGATCTTATGCATGCATACACTCGGCCTTATCCCCTATAGATCTGAAATTGACCACCCTAGTGCTTTCTTATGCTTTCGAAGAACCTGCAACAACCTTTCTTCTTGATCAAGCGTTAAGTAAGCGTTAAGTGAGAAGAAATAATAACAGGAAAAGACGTGGTTCTCACCTAAGAATCTGCCTGTTTTAAATGCAGCGTGGAACGTTGTTTCAGTCTCATCGCTTACGGTGATTCCCTTTCTTCTTTCATCTCAAGGATGCTTGATTCATTAATGTTATTTTCAACATGCAAAGTGGTCTTCACACATTCATCAACAACATCAATTCTAAAACAGTCTCCATGATCCATAGGAAGCTTACAAGATTTAAGTACATCAAACACAATTTCTTCCTGTCCAACTCTTAGAGTCAACTTACCTTCATAGACATCTATTAATGCCCTTGCAGTTGCAAGAAAAGGTCGTCCCAGGATTAGAGATCCTTCCCTGTCTTCATCGATGTCAAGGATAACAAAATCAACAGGAAAGATGAATATACCTACCTTTACAAGCACGTCTTCTACAATCCCTCTAGGATATTTAATTGACAATCCCTCTAGGATATTTAATTAGAAACGATCTGCTAATTGCAAAGACCATCCTGTTGGTTTGAGCTCTCCCCATAACTAGCATCTTAAAAACTTCATAAGACATAAGATTAATACTAGCACCTAAATCTGCCAAAGCCTTTTCAAACGTCAAGATTACCATGTTACATAGGGATATGAAAAACTTCCTGGATCTTTAATTTTGGAGGCATTTGTTTTGGGATAATTGCAGCTGCACTCCTGTTAACATTACCGTTCCTTGATCATCTATTTTTCGTTCTCTTGCTCAGGCTATCTTTTAGGAATTTAGCATAGCTTGGCTATTTGAGCAATGGTCTTCTAAGCTAAAAGAATATTAATTTGAAAGCTTCTTAACACACTAGAAATTTGGAAGCTCTGTGCATCTTGTCTTTCTTTAATCTTTGTGGAAAGGGGACAGGGGGAACATAAAGGTTTTACCTATTTTTCTTTCTCTCTAAGTCAATGATAGGCACCTTTGGTGTTCTTTCAACTCCTTTTTCCCTTTCTTTGGGTGGTTCATCTAATTGGGTTTAACCCCACTTCTCCAAGTGAATAGCCTGCACTTGTTCTTTTGGAATTTTCTTCCAGTATTGCTAGGTAAACGTACTTGAGGTCGAGATGCCAATACATGGTTTGCAAATTGGCCCTAGCTGAATCTCCAAATTCTGAATCTCCAAATTCCTGATTGCAGCTTGCTGGATTTTATGGTTCTCCCTGGTTTCATTCATGAATTCCATGTGTGATTTGGAGAGGGCAGTAATGAGGTCATCATGAGATTTCTTTTCTGGAGAGAGGAACCCTGGGGGTGCATTCAAGGCATTGTTAGGATTACCATAAGATAGATTAGGATGATTCCTTAACCTGTTATCATATGAATTTGAATAAGGGTCATTCTTTCTTCCTTGATTCATCACATAGTTCACTTGCTCCAAAGTTTGTGGATTTATAGAGTCCATGATGCATTCCCCAATTCCATGTTGACCATTGCACCTATCACAAATTTGTATAACAGCATTCACAGGGTTAGTAGTTAACATGTCCAGTTTCCTTACCATGTTATCTACCTTGGCATTAAGTGCTGTAATGGCGTCTATTTCATAGACTCCTGCATTTCATAGACTCTGCAGTTTTCTTCTTTCGGTAAATTGTTTTGGTAGTGGCTGTTGCTTGCCATCTCCTCTATGCAACTCATATGCCTTCATAATACCTTTCTTTTCAAAAGACACCGCATCAAAGGATCCACCTGCAGCTGCATCTAAAGTGATTTTAATATTAGGAGATAGTGCATTATAAAAAGTTTGTACCTGTAGCCACTTGGGCAAACTGTGATGCGGGCACTTCCTTTGCAAGTCCTTGAATCTTTCCCAAGCTTCGTACAAGCTCTCTTGATCATGATGAGCAAATGTCATTATCTCATTACGCAGCTTGGTGGTTTTTAAGGATGGGAAGAATTTAGCTAGGAATTTTTGAGCTAATTCATCCCATGTGGTAAAACTTCCAGCGGGACACGATTGTAACCATGATCTAGCTTTATCTCTAAGAGTAAAAGGAAAAAGCCTCAACTTGATTGCATCTTCAGAAACACCATTTTGTTTGAATGTGTCACAAATTTCCAAAAAATTGGTGTTGGTGAGTGAGCATTAGGATCTTCACTAGGCAATAACCTCCCATAGAGGTAGAGAGCATTTGGATGATTGCGGGTTTAATTTCAAAGTTATTGGCTTCTACCCTAGGTCTAGTAATACTTGAGGTTGTCCCATTCAAATTTGGTGTGGTATAATCTCTCAAGGTATGGACCGGATGTTGAAGTGGTGGTCCAACTATGTTTTCGTTTATGTTTTCGTTTTCGTTGGCCATGTTCGCTTCTTGTTCGGGTTTTATTTCTCTTGCTTTTCTTGCAGCGTTGTGCCTACGAAAGGTCCTTTCAATTTCTGGGTCAAAGACTAGAGGTTCAGTCGTCCTTGATCTTCTTCTTTGCATAAAACACCTGATACAACAACTTAAAAAACAGCACTTAAAAGAAAATTAAATAAAAATGAAAGAGTGTCTAAATTAATAACAGGGTAATTCGTATTGATATTGATACGCCAATCCCTGGCAACAGCGCCAAAAACTTGACAGCGGTTTTCGCAAGTGTACGAAATCGCAACAAGTAATATAGAGTAAGAAAGTATCGTATCCATAGGGATTGTTTCTCAATTACCAAAATTATGTTAACCTATTATTATTTAGACGATGATGAAAGGAATTCGCTGTAAAGTAAATAAAATTCAAAGTAAAAGAGATTAAACACAAAATTTAGGTGAAAAGAAATCAGGGGATTAAGCTACTAGGGAATTTGATTTCATTTAATTCCATCCAGCCTATTCTATTAGTTCATTAATCAAGTTTAATTGTTCAAGTAGGAGAAAACAACCCTAAGGTTACTAACAAGCTCTCCCGATTTATTGTTAGCTATTTAGCTATCTAATCCAATTTAATCACCTATCCTTAATGTGAAATTATAACATGAATCAGATCAATAGGTTTTATGGTTGTTTTAATGAATTCACAACTTAATACTTTATTAACTATGAAAGCCCCCCTTGAGTCTAAACCATATAAGTCACCAATCAAGTTATTATTCTCAAGTAAATATTTACCTTTTTCATATCAAATTTTCATATCAATAACCCTTCTCCCGAATGTAATTATTGAAATGGTTCAATCCAGGGGAAATTTTCTGCCTGGAAGCCTTAAGCACAATAATAAGTTATAACAAGAACAAAGAAAAATAAATCTAATATTATAAGCTGCAATCAAATTAAATTACATCAAATCCCTAGTATAAAAGTTTAGCTAGACATAGTAATTAAATTAAGATCAATCATACTTGAATCATTCATTATATTTAAAGACAATAATAAAGAAAGAAACAAGATGAAGAGTTAGAATAAAAACTGTATCACAACTATGCTCTTGAATCTTAGCACAATTATTTGAAGCTTGAAATCTTTGAGAAGAAGAGAATTATGTAAAGGAGTGTACAAAAAACCAGATCCTTTGCTATGAGAAGTTCCTTTCTTTATATAGAGGTCCTGAAGGCAAGTCTGACTCCTTTTAGGAAATAGAATCCTTATTTAGTAAAAAATCCTTTATAGGAGATCATAACTGTTTAGGCTCTTGATTTCTTCTTGATTAGGACTCCTTTTTCTTCAAGAATAGGTCCAGGTCTTATTTAGTGTGTCACGGGGCGTGCTAGGTAGCACGGGCTAGTGAAGCAGTGAGGCACGGGCGTGCTAATGAGCACGGCTAGGGCGTGCTCTTCTCTAGAAGTCTGGCTAGTGAAGCACTGCGGCATCTCCTGAAGATTTGCGCTCGCGAGTTGTAGATTCGCGCTCGCGGGTGTTGGTCGCGCTCGCGTATGTGAGATTCGCGCTCGCAAGTTGTGCGGCCTAACTCTCTGCCTCTCGTTTGCGCAACTCGCGCTCGCGTGGTGTAGATTTGCGCTCGCGCATCTGTTTTGCGCAACTCGCGCGTGCTTCGGGGCGCGCTTTAGACGTGCTGGCTTCTCTCCTCATGGCACGGTCGTGATCTGCTTGACACGCCCTGATCCTATTGTAGCACGGGCGTGCCTTCCAGCACGGGCTGGGCGTGCTAGAGGCTGAGTGCCTTGCATTCTAAAATTCTTTTCTGCGCCAAATTTCTGCAATTTTCTCGCAATTTTCTCTTAGATCAAGCGGATTAAAGACCAAGGGCAGCTTTAAAACACAAATTACACTAAAATGATTTTAAAAAATTAAATTAAAGAAGTAAAAAAATAAAAGTGATTTAAAATTAAATTAAAGAAGTAAAAACTTACTAAAATTCTAATAAAAACTATATTAAAAACACTATAAAATTTACACTTATCAGTCTATAATTGCCATGCATTATAAGTATGATCATGCATCATTAAACTGACATTCATACAAAACAAATATTTTTTATTTCTTAATTAAACCCCAAACCATGAAATTCATACGAAAAGAAGTTGAGAACTTAGTCTCCAAACCCAATGGTTCGAGGCTAGTGCATTTTATCCATTGTGGCAAACTAAAATTAGAGTCAATCATGGAGTTTTTTCCTTAATATTTTCTCCAAAAATAAAAACAAATTAAGGTGGCGACTCTAAACACATCACACACCGTTAAAGCACTCTAAAGAGCCAACCTGAGACACATAAGTGTTAAGTCGAGCCATAACCAACAAAAGAAACCGTAAGGAGTTCCTACCAGTTTTCGTGATGAACCAACCAATGGGCCTGTCTGATTAGAATCTTCAGATCTTTCCCATGGCGCTAGGGAAGGGACTCACAAATTGGTCTAGAGCATGCTCCATAACCAGGGTTCTATGTGATATGCTCATAAACAAACTCTGTGAAGCATTTAATAAATACTAGATGCAATCATCATTATGATTGAAATAATTAGAACCAAACTCATAGATAGGCTATATTGGAAATGAGAGTTGATTAAGAAGGTGCAGGGGAAATTGTGTTCCAAAATAGGAAAGAAGCTAGCTAAAAATATGGATTTTGCTTATCACTATACACCAACATTCATTGAGGGGCCTAGGGTACAAGTTAGTGGACCTGAGGGGCAGTATGTAGTTGATATGGAGGCCAAAACTTGTTCATGTATGAGACGGGACTTGATAGGTACCATATGGGCATGCAATTGCATGCATTTTGGATAATAATGAGGATCTTGTGTTGTATGTAAATGAAATTTATTCAGTGGAAACCTATTTGAAAGTATATTCTATGTTTATCAATCCAATCAATGGGCTTGAGATGTGGCCAAAAGCACAAGTGACACATCAATTCACCCTACGATCTCCAATCAAGAAGAAAAAAGGGAGAAAGCAAAAGGCTAGGAGGAAAGAAGCAGAAGAATTGGAGAATGCAACTGCAAAGTCAAAGCTATTAAGAAAGGGTTTGATTGTCATGAACTGCAATGTCTGTGGGACTGTGAGGCATAACAAGAGGTACCATAGCAAGGGAGATGAGGCTGGACTTCCCAAACAATTACTGTGAGTATTTTGACTTTTATTGCTTTTCATTTTTTTTTCTAGATAAATGAAGTACATAGTTGTTATGTTTTGTCAAAACAGAAAAGGAGAAAAACAACATCTATGTATGCAAATTCAGCTACTAGGACAACTCCAATGTTTGAGAGAGGCTTGCATGCTTCATCAACACAATAGGGCAATCTGACATAAGGCAATGCATCACAAGAGATACCAACACAGCAATCAAGGACTGCTACAAGGAAAGGGGCTCCAAGAGGAAGGGGAAAAAAAAAGCTACAAATGCAAGGCAGCCTTGGAAGTGAATTGGCAGGATTTTTTATTTATATTTAAGATGAAATATGTAGGGGAATCAATTTTTGGGATTTTGTAATTATCCTTACACAGTGGCACTACTTTTTGATGATTATTTTGTGCTTCAAAAAGTGAAACTCGCTAGCATGTTTGGTTTCACTTTGAATCATCCATATATTGTGCTTGAACACTTGATGAGCCTTGTGGTATATATTTTTTGGAATGCTACAATTGTAATGAAAGTATTTTGCAATTCTCAATTCTCTTTTTGGAATTCAATTTTATATATCAGAATTGATGAATTTTATTTCCCAGCAGCTTACAAACTATTACAAGTGTCTCTAATTAATAATGGTTTCATAATTTTAATGCCTCCACTATAGTATTATGTATCCAATATAGCATGAAGAATTTACCAGAAAAAAAAGTTTTAATTTCATTACATTTAATAAACATACACAACCATCAAGTGCATAAAATGCAGTTATGGATTAAATCTTTCTAACATATACCCTATAACACAATTGTAGGCCTCCCTACTTGTATATTCTACCCACAACAAAGCTACAAAATATTAACAGAATAAAAACACAGGCAGCAAGCATCAAACATAAGAATTTCATCTTCATGTTTCTCTCTTCAGCCTCTTCCTTCTTTTTCTCCATTCTATCGAGCTTTCTCAATAATCCAACAATCACAACTTTTGAGTGTGGGTTTACAAATGGATCCAACCATTTCATAAAACTGTAGCAATTGGATGTCTGGAACCAAAATAAATTCATTTCAACCAAAGCATTCCAAACCCAAAACTAAAAATTACAGAATTAGAAAAAAATACCCCATAATTACTGCATCCAAGGAACCTTCTTCTTGGATTTTTTTAATCCATGCAGTCTTCAATAGTGCCTCTTGCCTGCATCTACAATATCTTATGTATGTTACATTGACACCGTTCCTTTCTGACATGGGATGGTGAGAAGAAGAATTTAGAAGAGAAGCTACAAAGAGTTAGAGAGAAAAGTTCAATAGAGGCAAAGGGTTTGTTATTTGGGCAACACATATAACGGGTAAGTGAGAGAGAAAGGTGAGAAGAGAGAAAAAACTAAAGGTTTATGGGGCCCACTTATCTTTTTTACTTACGCACTTATTGACATGGCGTGTGTTATATGGCAAGTTTTTGGTAATGTGATGTGCTAGCAAAGCAAACCAATAAAAATTGACTAGTTAAATAGGTTTTGAATTTTACTATTACATTTTTAAAAATATATTCATTTTATTGGGACGTTTTGAAGGTTAGGGATGGTAAAGAGAAAGGGGTATAAGTCTAAGGAGCTGAATAAAATTAAGCCAACGCGTTGGAACAGGACTATTACTGTAATAAAAGTCTTATTTGAAAAGTATTAATAGTAAAATCTTTTTGAAATCAAAATTTTTTAATTCTTTTATAGGAAGTGTAACATGAATAGAATTGGAATATTTAGAAAATAAATCCAAATTGATTTTTTTTATGATTCTTTTATTAGGATTTAAAACAATTTTTTAAAATTGTTTTATAGGAGTTGTCATGTAGTTTTTTTTTTTCAAAAATTATACATGAAAATTAGAAAATAATTTTATTCTATAAATTAAATTTTAATTAGAAAACTAATATAAGCAATTAAATAAAATATTTTTAAAATAATAACTTCTTATTTTATTTTTTAACCAATTGGAATAGAGGATAGTTTGCCATTTTTAAATTTAACCGTGTTTTCTTTTATTATTCTATATATATTATTATTTTTTAACGCAATTGGAATAGAGGATAGTTCGCCATTTTTAAAATTTAACCGTGTTTTCTTTTATTAATTCTATATATATAATAGTATATATAATATATATATATATATATATATAATATATATATATATTATATTAATATATATTAAAGTTATTCTCATTCTTTTTACTGAATATTAACTCGGTGATATTTAAAATTTAATAAAAAATTTCACATTAGAGCTTATGTATATTTGAAAAATAATTACCTAAAAAAGTATTTAGAATTTTCAGATATTTAAAATGTTCAGAAAAATTCGGTTAATAAAAAATATATTCAGAGTTAAATGAAAACTTAAATCATTAAAATAATTTCGAAATATCAACAAATTTGTTATAACCTTACAAATACATATTTATTAATCTACATATAACTAATAATCACCATCTTCAAGTATTGCTGACCAACACAACAATAGATGGTTACCACTCTCTGTCACCAACTACTAGTGATTACTATAGTTTATAGTTTGTTTGTAATTTTCTTCCTTATAATTAATAATAAATCTTTAAAATATAATATTTTATAATTTTAGATATTATTGTAGATATATAAATTAAAAATTTTTAATTTTTTTTGACTATTTTTCAGCATTGCGTTCAAACAACTAAAAATGAATTGTTTGAAAATATTTTATGATAAAAATATTTTTCTAAGCCAAGTTATGTTCTAATCATAAACATAAATTAATTTGATATTTTTGTTATCTATCGTCCTTCTAATTAATTCACTTGATCATTTCTAAACTTTAATTTATAATATGAAAATTATATAATTTACAACTATTTAATTAAAAAAGTTATTTAACTTAATAACAATACATTTAAAAAATATTTAAGATTTTGATTAATAAATTTCATTGGTTAATGTTTATTATTTTACTTTTTTTTTTTTTTTGTTATTTAAACTTAATGAACCAAATACAGTTTTAAAAAATATTTAAGATTTTGAAATTAATAAATTTTCATTGGTTTAAAATGTTTATTAATTTTACTTTTTGTTTTTTGAGTATTGGAAAGAGTGATTTGAAACAATTTATTATCCAAGTCTATAATGCTCCTTGATTACCATTTATTAACTGTGGTCTCGGCCTAAACAACTTTAAACAACCTCCTCGGTTTTATGACTGTATGTACTTACTAGTCGTTTTCCCTAGTCTTAAATAAAAATATGCCAATAAGACAAATTATGATCTCCATTATTGTACTTATTCACACATACGATATTGAATTCAATATCATTTATAGAATTGAGATTTTTATAATTATATATAAAAAATTAATTTCGACAAAATTTAATTCGTCCCTCAATTCCAACGAAAGAATTAACGGCCCAATTTCTGAGTGAAAAAATGTAAAAATTTTGTAGAAAGTACGTGTGTTGAAAAGTGATAACTGGAACGAAAAGGATGAACACGAAAAACACCGAGTTATCTTACACTGTCTCAAAACTAGAGAACTACCTCTGCTCTGCAAATATACAAATAAACAACTCTATCTTTCCCCAACTAATTTTTTTTTTTTTTTTGAGTATTGGAAGAGTGGATTTGAACCTAATTTATTATCAGGTCGTATATGCGCTTATCACTGGACAATAACTTGATATGTACTTTATTTTTTGTTAAATTGGGATCTTTGATAATTTGATGTAGAATTGAGATTTTAATTATATATAAAAAATTAATTTTCGGACAAATCTTAATTCTCCCTCAATTCAAGAAAAGTTAACGGCAATTGAAGTGGAAAAATGTAAATTGTAGAAAAGTAGGGGTTGAAAATGTGAAACTGGAAACGGAAAAAGGATGAAAGAAACCGAGTTTGTTCCTTTCACTGTCTCAAAACTGAGAACTACTCTGCTCCTGCAAATTACAATAATACAAACTCTATCTTTCCCAACTAAAAACTAAACGAACTGTAATTATTTGTTTATGCAATTTTTTTTATTAAATATTACAGAAAGACAATAGTATAAGAGAAGAGAAGAGCTGGGTTTTGGTTCTTTAGCAGTTCTTTGGTTTAAGGTGAGTTTTCCTTTTCTATTTCCATTGAAGATTTAGGGCTTCGATTTGAAAGCAAATGTTTCTCTTTTAGCAATTCATTTCTTATCTTCTGTTTATAACAAAAATTATTAGTGAATTAGTTATTCTTTTAGCGAGTTTTGACATTTACTCGTTTGGAAATCTCCTTGTTTGTATCAATTTTGAATGAATGTAAGTAATTCGAACTTAATTGTGATTAAATTCAGGGAATGGACTGAATTATGAATTTTCCATTTCTTTGTATTTAGCTTACTTTGAGTTTTCTTTATAGATAACATATGGAATCCTAATGCAGGATTCTGCTCAATCTGGGATAAATATGGAGATTAGGTTGTACCTGTAGACTGCCTGGAGGAAACGAAATCTGGGTTCATAATATAAACTTATGGATGTTGAAGGTTTACATGTGGAAGGGGAAAATGAAGATGATAGCATGAAGGTAAATGCTGTTTCCAATAAACCTGATAAACGTAGTTTAACTGAAGATTCTGCAGAAGAGATAGTTGGAAATCAGGATGACAATGGAAATGCATTACCACATGTGGGTATGGAGTTTGAATCAGAGGATTCTGCCAAATCATTTTATGATGCATATGCCAGGCGTGTGGGGTTTAGCACTCATGTTGGTCAGTTTACCCGTGCTAAGCCTGATGGGCCAATTGTAACTTGGGATTTTACGTGTTCCAAAGAGGTACTTAAAAGGAGGAATTTTGAGAGCTGTAATGCCATGCTTAGGATAGAGAGAAAGGATTCAAACAATTGGATTGTCACAAAATTTGTGGAGGAACATAACCATTCTATGGTGATTCCTAGTAAGGTTCATTACCTTCGACCTCGAAGACATTTTGCTGGTGCTACAAAGAATTTGGCTGAAGCATCGGATGCTAGTAGTGATGTTTATGTTGTCATTGATGGAAATCATGTATCTCATGAACCAATTCGTGTTAGGAATGTATCTCCTGTAGAACCTAATCACCCTGTTAGGAATGTTGCATATGTGCCTATGAACTATGCGAGGCATCCTAGCAGAAAAAGAACCCTTGGAAGGGATGCGCAAAATCTTCTGAACTATTTCCAGAAAATGCAGGCTGAAAACCCTGGCTTCTATTATGCAATTCAACTCGATGATGATAACCACATGACTAATGTCTTCTGGGCTGATGCAAGATCAAGGATGGCCTATAATCACTTTGGTGATGCAGTTGTTTTTGACACAATGTATAGACCAAATCAATATCAGGTCCCTTTTGCTCCTTTCACGGGTGTGAATCATCATGGTCAGATGGTATTATTTGGCTGTGCATTGCTTCTAGACGAGTCGGAGTCTTCCTTTACTTGGTTATTTAAGACATGGCTATCTGCAATGAATGACCGGCCTCCTATTTCTCTTACAACTGACCAGGATAGAGCCATACAAATGGCAGTAGCTCAAGTGCTTCCAGAAACTCGCCATTGCATCTGCAAGTGGCACATCTTAAGAGAAGGCCAAGAAAGGTTGTCTCATATATACCTTGCTCATCCGTCCTTTTATGGAGAGCTGTATAGTTGCATTAATTTTTGCGAGACGATTGAGGATTTTGAATCATCATGGGGTGCCCTCCTGGATAAATATGATCTGCAGAAGAATGAGTGGCTTCAAGCTGTTTATAATGCTCGCAAAAATTGGGCACCAGTTTATTTTCGTGGCACTTTCTTTGCTGCGCTCTCTTCAAACCAAGGAGTTAGCTCTTTTTTTGATGGGTATGTTACTCAACAGACCACAATACCTCTGTTCTTTAAGCAGTATGAAAGAGCTCTTGAGAATTCTCTAGAAAAGGAAATAGAAGCAGATTATGATACAATTTGCACCACTCCAGTGCTCAAGACACCGTCACCAATGGAACAACAGGCAGCAAGCCTTTATACCAAGAAAGTGTTTTCAAAGTTTCAGGAAGAACTGGTTGAAACTTTTGTCTATACAGCAAATAACATTGAGGATGATGGGATTGTAAGTAAATACAGGGTTGCAAAATATGAGCATGATGACAAAGCATATATTGTGACATTGAACATTTCTGAGATGAAAGCAACTTGTAGTTGCCAGATGTTTGAATACTGTGGTGTTCTCTGTCGGCATATATTAACTGTATTTACTGTAACTAATGTTCTCACCCTTCCATCCCATTACATATTGAAGCGATGGACAAGGAATGCCAAATCTTGGGTTGGATTAGAGGGGCAAGATACTGATCTGCATGGTATTGAAACTCTGACATCTCGCTTTAACAATTTGTGTGTGGAAGCAGTTAAATATGCAGAGGAAGGAGCAATTGCTGTTGAGACCTACAATGTGGCAATTAGTGCTTTAAGAGAGGGTTTAAAAAAGATTGCTGTCACGAAGAAAAATGTTGCTAAAGTTGCACCTCCTAACTCCCAGGGCAGTGGAAATAGTCTTGAAGACGGTAACAAGAAAATCCCTTCCTCAGTTCCTGAAATGGTCCCATCATTTTGGCATTGGCAAGATGCTATACCGCAACGGTTTAATCTTAATGATATGGGAGTACCTGTTGCTGATTTGAATCAGCCCAGCATGGGTCCTGTGTCTATCCATCGTGATGGTGGGCCTACTGATAACTCGGTATGGAAGAGAACTGATTCTGTACCATTTGTTGCATAACTATGTAATCCGTATTGGTGAAATATTGTATGGCATCTGAAAAAGTTTGGTGATTGTTAATTTTATTCAATGCAGGTGGTTCTAACATATTTCAAGTCTATGACATGGGTCATTGAAAATAAGACTTTAACACCTGCTGGAAAAGTAGCTGTCATCAACTTGAAGGTATTGATGCTTTTCCTTCCTAAAGTTTACATCTTATATTCTTCTACAGAATGTTTCAAGTTGTCATTATTTGAAGGAGATTAGTGTTATTTCCACTACACCTGTTTACCAATGACATTTTTAGCACTCACTTACACTTCTAAGGTTATCTAGTTCATTCTGCTATCCCTTACATATTATTGTGTTCTCTTGGGTATTCACTGTGTACATATACTTAACTATTAATTTCTGTTATCACTGCTGTAGCTTCATGATTATGGCAAGAGCCCGTCAGGGGAAACAGAAGTACAGTTTAGGCTAACAAGGGTCACATTGGAGCCTATGTTGAGATCCATGGGTTATATTAGTCAGCAGCTTTCAGCACCAGCCAATCGTGTTGCTGTCATTAATCTAAAGGTATTCAATTTGAAATATGAAAATTTCAACCACTTTTCTTCCTTGATTATTAATAATTTGGTAAACTCCACCAATATATCTGCTTTGTTCTGATCATGTAGATTCATGAATGATTCTCAACAGCACATTTTTTTTTCCTTAATTTGTTATTTGCTTTGCTTAAAGATATTAAGGATTGATTGGGAAGCCACCAAACTGGTCCTGCTAATTGTAATCTGGCTGGCTTTTGACTACATAGTGAGGGAAGCAACAATGTGCAGCTGTTAACGAGTAATCAAAAGTAATACCTCTCACTTGAAGCAAAAATAGGATGTCAGTTTGCTTTAAAATCTGGATAACCTTATACTCAGTTATGAATCACCCTTTTATGTTATTATCATTCAGATAATGAATAGTATGATGTAGTGATTTGGAACAGAATATAAACCAATGAGAAAAAACATAATTAAGAGAATTGAAAATTTAATTATAAATTCAATTAATCCTGGAGTCTGCACGAATTGCATCTAGTCAATTCAGAAGAGCATGAAATGGCAGAGGACTGGACTTCCCCACTCAACACACACAAACACCAAATCCCCCCCCCCGAAATAATATACACTTTATAAAAACTCTCTCACAATTATCCTGGAGTACGCACGAATTTATCATTAGTTCAATTCACACGTTAAGAGCTATGAAATGGCAGAACTTGATTTCCCCATTTCTCATACTCACACCAAAACACCAAAATCCCCCACACCCCCCTTTTTTCCTCACCAAAAATTTTCTTCCAATGGGCATGCTATTTGCATACATTACTGCTTGCTATAGTCCAAAATAACTACCCCCAAAATTTTACAGAATGCAATTTTTAGCAGTTTCAGATAACTTTTTTCAGTTCTTCCATAGTAGTCAACATACTAAGGTTTAATTCATTCCCCCCCCCCCCCCTTTTTTCCCCCAAAAAAAATGTTTCTTTTCCAATGCACTGCATGATAAATACTGCTTGTATAGTCAAAGTAACTACCAATTTACAGAAATGCATTTTTAGGCAGTTCAGATAACTTTTTTCATTTTTCTCCATAGTAGTCAACAACTAAGGGTTTTAATTTATTCTTTTCTCCAAATTTTTTCTATATGGCTGTAGGGACAAATTCAGGGTTTTTTTGAAGAGCATAGAGGGAGTTGAGTGATGACTAGATTTCTGTTTCGGGTCACCTTTTTGGGTTTCAGTATATTGGCTCGTGTTATTTTTAAACAATTCAGATCACCTTTTCATTTCTTTTCTTTTACCTAGCAATAAAAAATAATTTTTTACTTCTTATTTTTTGTTACAACTATATATAGGCATTGAATAGGGGTTAAAGATTGATTAGTGGCTTGATTTTTTTTTTTTTTGGGGCACTTACTAGGGTTTCAAGAATCTGCATTTATAAATTAGTAGCTGAAGGGTTAGGTCTAGGTGTTGGGTTGAACTTTATTTATAAGATGATAACTGATTAGTATTTAGTTTTCTCTTCCTATTTTTTGTATTCTGCTAGTTTTTTTATAAAAACTTCTTGTAATGTTACTTCTTATGTAATTAATTCTATTTTTATATAATGAAGTAGTCTCAAAAAATATAGCTCTAATTTGTGAGAATTGCTCAGGTGATGCTATTACAAGCATGTAATAATCTGCCATTATTTAATACATGACATTCTAAAGTTATAGTAATGCATACACAATATTGTAATAATGTTGAGCAGTAAAACCCCAGAAAAGCTTTGCAACCTATTACATTTAGAAAGACACAAGACGAACAGGATTAAACATTATTGGATTTAGTTATTTTAGCTATGTAATCTCGAACCCAATTGTTCACATCTTGACCCAATTGTTCACTAATACTTCATGAGACATATCTGATACTAATACTAACATTATTACTGATTTGAGATGTGCTTAACGATGCCTAGGTATTGCTACACATATATGTAATCCTAACATTATTTTTCATTGGACTGGAAGTTATTAAGTAGATAGAGAAATTTTAAATTGTTGATTTAGAGATGAGAATGATTTATCATATGCATTTTAATGATGTGAAAATACCATTGGACGTATAACTAGTTCAATGAAGACAAGGCTGTCTTTTCTTCCTCAAAATTAATTTTAGGTTGTTTGACTTGTAAACTGGTCTTTAATGCCACAACAATGTTATTCTCATAAAAAGAAAATGATCCAACCTTTAGGCTCCGTTTGTTTCCGTAAAATAACTTACAGGAAAATATTTTCTACTATTTTTCATTGTTTGGAGCATTTAGGAAAATAAGTTAACTGAAAATATTTTTCTAGTCAAAGGAAAATTAAGTCATTTTTTAATGAAAATAACTTCTCATTTTTGAGAGATTAAAACATTTTTCAGATATTGACAAATCTTATAAATCCATATTTTTTTAATTTATTAATCATCGTAGTCACTACCACCAGTTACCATGTACCGCCGACTATCACCAACAGCGGCTTTCATAATTTAGACTTTTTTTTTTTTGCTTTATTCTCATATTTTAAAAAAAATTTTAAATTATAAAATTTCTATTATTATTAATTATTTTTATGGTCTTATGAGATAAAGACTTTAATATTTTTAACTAATTCTCAATGTTACAACCAAACAACGGAAAATAAGTCATTTGGAAAATATTTTTCAAGGAAAATGTTTTCCATATAAAATTTTTTTCAGCAAATTATTTTCCTGCAAGTTGTTTTATGGAAACAAATGGAGCATTAGTTATATTGTAAACCAAAAAGTTGTATAAGCATTTTTTTTGCTTTGCATTTTTTGCATTTAAAAAGAAAAAGAAAATGAAAAACTGATGTCTTGCACTTTCTTTTAATAAACAGACAGCTAATTGTTTAGTTAATCCCTTCCTAATTTCTATCCCATCTCAAAAGCAATTATAACAAATCTTCTTATTGATAAGGTTGTCAATGGCTTGAGGATTGAATCCTTGAGCTTCAATGCTTTCAGGTACTTCGGGTATATGTTATTCCTTTCTGAAATATTTTTCTGCTTGAGTTGTGCTTCTCTCGCTTTGCTGGGAGGTTATATTGATGGCTCGATATTTTTGAGATGTAATTTATTCACTCATTCTTTCTAGCTCCAAGATGCAAAAACAACATCTGGGGAAACAGAGGTTAAATTCCAGGTTTCCAAAGATACGCTGGCTTCAATGTTGAGATCAATGGCATATATCCGAGAGCAATTATGACAGTTGTAAGCATACCATTCCCATAAAACCATGTGGATTACTAGATGCCCACGATTGAATTCTAATTGCTGTTTATGAATGACTAGACTGGAGTAACTTATATGGTTAAATTGGAGGGTCTAGTTAGTAGATGTCCAGAGTGTCAGAATGATTATAGAATACAGGTTGCCATTTGGACCATAGCTCTTTGGTGTGTGCTAGAAGATAGAAAATACTAAGATATGTTAAAAATCTCCACCCTGCTAAGTTGCTGAATTATATATGAGAATTTTACAGTTTGATTGAGCTCAGGGATCATAAGACTAATGTTTTGTCATAATATAATATATTTTTTCAAGTGACAGTTGGGAAAATAAGTTGTTTGCATTAGATATCTCCTTGTTGTAATAGGTAATTTTCAAAAGGGAAAAAATGGAGCATTCTTAGTCACATAATAAGATTGATAACACCCTTTAATGCATGCATTTGAGTGTGTATTTAGCTCATAATTTTGCATGGTGAAGTAATATTTTGCTGACATGCTTGTTCTGCAATATTTTTAGGTTTCGTATCTGAGCACTTCGTTCTAATGAGTTATATAGAGTATTAGAATTTCTTCCCACAAGCTGAGTACAGTCAGCTCCACCTATGTCTAAACAGCAGGCAGCATCAGAGGCAGCAAAGGTGTGCTTCGTGTCGTCGATAAGCATCGTGTATCATAAGAATTTGACATTGACATAATTCATCTGTGGATTTAGTTAGGTATAGGAGTATATCATTTTTCATTTTATTGACCGAGCGTGGTTGAGATTAGGTTACTTGTGTTTATTCTTAACTCTTAACTCATAGATAGTGCATGATTTTCCTTGTAACAATGTGCTGGAAACTCAGTTTGTATATGAAAGTTGTAGATGTAGATGCCACATACTTACTTAATGAGCATTCCATTTATATTCGAATTCTGGAAGATGGTTCCCTCTTCTTTCTTTTGAGCCTTAATGATGTTTGATTATCTTTTTCTGATGTTGGGAGAGTAAAGAACCTCTCTCCCATGGAGACGTGCCTTTTTTATGTTGCTGAGTCAATTTTGTAGTTTCTCAATTTCAACAGAGCTCCAGAAATGATTTGTATCGGATTGGTATTGCATTGAGTTTGAACTTCATTATGCTAGAGAACTTGAAGCTTCAAATTCGATTTGAATTTGATCAGTGCTTGAAATAGGCGGACTTGATTTGCTCGATTCAACTATAATCAAATAAATAAATAAATTTAAATGTTTATCTATAATCTATAGTATATATAAATGTGAGAATAGAAAGGAATAATGAGATTTTCGATATCGCCTTCTATGAAATTTAGAATCTCCTAAAATAGCTTTAGTCGTAGTGAATTTAAAAATTACAATCATACGAGTTTGGATTAGTGGTTCGACACTCTTCTTTTTTAGGTGAGATTAAGGGTTTGATCTTCATGGATGGAGCAAATATACTCGGATTTAGAGCTAGCCCAATGGGCTCAGGATACCTGTGGGAAAGACGGAACAAGAAAAATTGCATTTTATTATTTAATTGGATATAATTTCTAAAAATTATTTTTTAAATAAATAAATATACATAATAAAAAGGAAAAAAGTATACTCTTTTTTTTATGGTCGCGGGAAAAATTCTGCGGGAAAAATTCTGGGTTCATTTGGAGAGTATATATTGTTTCTTTCATGTAATCTTTTTTTTTTATTATTTAATTAACTTATTTATTTATTTTAAATTTGTAACTTGGAACAATAGAGAAACAAAAAACTTGAATAAACTCATTAATTAACTAATATTAGATCCTAGCATGATTCGATTTATAATTTTCATTTGTTGACTTGGTTTTTATTTTTATTTTTTTGTCATTAAAATCAAATTTAATTAAATTATAGCATTTTGAGGGTTATTTTTAAATTCAGATTGATAATTTTTTTAATATAATATATTTTTTGTTATAAGTTGAGTTCTTAAAAAAATCTTATTCTTAGTAATAATTTGTTTTTTTTTTTTCCGTTATTGAATTAATTTGTAACCAATATCACTTTAATTTAATTAGAGATTTACATCTCCCTTGCAATAAATAGATGGCCTATTGATTAAACATTTTTAATTTTCTTGATATTTTTCCTTCTATATCCTAAATACGTTTGACTTGAAAGAAAACAGTGTTTATAAAATTGAAAAAATTAGAACTATATATTTCTGTTTTGAGCCATTCTTTGAATTTCAAGAGTTTGTGTGTATATTCACATAATCCTTTCTCTAGTGCACTAGGTAAGTAATACTATTACTATAGTCAAAATGTTTACCATTATTAATTCAAATCATCTTTTCATTTCTTTTCTTTTACCTACCAGCAAAAAAAAATATTATTATTTTTCATTATAGTTGTATATAGATATTGATTTGCAAAATGTTTACCATTATTAATTCAAATCATCTTTTCATTCTTTTCTTTCTACCTACCAAGCAAAAAAAAATATTATTAGATTTTTCATTTATAGTTGTATATAGATAGTTGATTGCGGAAAATTGAGGACCAAGGGTTAGGCATTTAAGTGCAATTTAAACGTGCTTTCTTTTTTGAGATATTGATTTGGGATTGAGGACAAGGGTTAGGGATTTAGTGATAACTTGATTTTCTTTTTGAGCACCTATCAGGGTTTTAAGAATCTGTATTTATAAATTAGGAACTGAAGAATTAGATATAGATATTGGATTGAACTTTATTTTGAGATCACTTCATTATATAAAAATAGAATCAAGTACATAAGAAATAACATTGCAAATAGCTTATATAGCAAAATCTAATATAAATAAACCAATTGTAATTCTTTTAATCTAAATAAAAACTTATGTTTTAATATTATATAGATAAAAAATAAAAAGAGTATAAAAAATGAAAATATAACGAGCATTGTCAACGTGCAATGCATTATAAAAAAGACTAGTATATAAAAAAGTACGAATGAGAAAGAACATTGGATTCCTAAAACGCCCCTGCTAAATTTATGAATTGACAAAAATATCATTACTAATTCTATTCTAATTAGGATATCAATTTATTATTTTTATTATATTAATATTATATATTTAATCACATTCTAATTAGAAATTTGTCCTATCATACCACTATATATATGTTTAGTTTTAATAGCTTTTGCTATCAATAATTTGTTGCTTTGGACTATTAAGAATTGTTATATCAAGTTTTTGTTAATTTGAAATTATTGAGTTTGCAATCATGTCTTCTTCTTGCGGTAAATACCCCTACAAATTTTTAGTTTTAATGATTGATTAAAAATACCAAATTTAGTTTTCAATGTATTGACTAAAAATATTATAGGATAAAATAGTTCATAATTCCCTAATTAGAAACATTGTAAATTTATTGATGTTTTATTAGTGATTAACAAAAAATCATTAAGATAATTTCAATTTCTCATTTCTAATTTAGAAAATTTTAATTTTATTCGATTGACCTAAAATGTGACTATTATAAAATTTTTAAATTAAGTTAGTTATATAAGTAACTTTAATTAGATCCATTTTAATTAATTATTCAAATCTTGTTTTCCACTTTTTCGTTATTGAATTAAGCCCGAAACAAGGAATAAACTCATGTCATGATTATGAGAGTTCCCGAAAGCCTTCCCCAAAAGGGACGTAATTTGGAATTTTTATAGTTTGAGCATGAATCTGGTGGTTCCTTGGGAGAAATGGAAAAATTCGCCCCCCGGCGTTTTATCTATCTTTGTGCAAATTCTTCCCTCATCAGCTAATATCGAAGAAATTAGGCTTTGAATATTATATTGTGTACTCCAATTTACTAAGCTTATAAGATATCATTAATGGGAAAGTGATCCGTTGTAAAATGAATAATATACAACAGGAAATAATAACATCATAGATTGGGTAGAACACTGCAAACCATAAGGCCCGACCAGATCATGCTTAGAGCAATTAATTGGCCCACCAGAAAATAATAAATAATTCCTATAAGATGAGAGAATGAATAGGTGCGGCTCCCATACCATCCAGATCTCCCGGAGCGTGTAGAGCCATACGCCTAGATAATTGAATACAGAAGTATTCGACGGATCAATAAGAGTTAGGGAGAGTGGGTCTCCTCCACACAAACAGAAAGTAACGAAATATTTATCCGGTTTTCTAAAGTATATAACATAAATTATGACATGCTTCTTCTCTCCACCTGAGAGAGTCTAAGGGTTGCGGATACGTTCTACGACTATGGTGTTTGCTTTACACAGCAGTACAGCAATTTTTTATCCTTTGCTAAAAACTTATTAAACTTGAAATGAACCACTGTTTTGTGCATCATATTTTCTTTTTCAATTCCTCCACTATCTATTTATATTTTATATAAAAGTGTAAATATCTATATTTGATTTTTGTTAAGATTAATTATTTATCAAAATAATAATCTTTATTTTTATTTTTTTAATAACTATTTCTTAGAAGTAAAATAGCCCATGGAAAATTACGAGTGTGCGAAGGATGGATGAGAGGAAAATAGGTGAGAGTCGATGAGTGTCCCATGTATGAATTTTAAATTTAATTTTTATTAAACTCTGATTAATTAAAATATCATTATATAAATTAGTACCTAATAGAAATTTAATTTATAATGAAATGATTAAAAATATATATAATTAAATTTTTTACATAGATTGAGTTAATAATAATTCCAACTTAAACCCAAAATTAAAGCGAGAATTATATAAAATAGGAAAAATCCCTGTAATAATTTTTTTTTATCCTTTAACCTAAAATTATATATATTTAATTTATTACACAAAAGAAAGTAAACAAATATCTCTAGGTCAAGAAACACCGGATTAGTAATTATGTCCAAATAACTACTTCTTAACTAATTTTATAAAAATAATATAAAATGTAACAATTTTTACATAATTAATTTAAATGACTTGCAAAAGTTTAAAATAGTTCAAACCTAAATAACACCACTATTATATTCTAAATAAAATGATTAAAATAATGATATGATAAATTGATATATTTATGATTAACTTAGCTATGTTAGCTAAAAACTCTTAATATATAATGCATATCCGTAAAAAATAATAAAAACTAAATAAACTTCAATTAAAGACTTAAAAACTCATATTTATTATTTAAATTTTATTATTGTACTTCCTACATAGTGTTATAAAACACCAAGACGTTCTAACGAGTAATTCTTAATTATGTGAAATATTTTTCATGAATTATATGTAACTCAATTAGAAATCTCTATACAATATACTTATTCAATAAAAAATCACATAATATTTTATTTTTTCTTTGGCTCTATAGGGTTTTTTAAAATATTTTATGAGCAAAAATTTCTCCTTTTTATCTATTTCTACTTTGTAATCTTAAAACATATGATTTAACTTGAGTTTATGATTATTTTTACTTCTTTCCATATACGTTTCAAATCATTAAAGTTTATTTTTTCATTCCAATTTTGAACATTTTATACAAATATTCATTCATTTTTATCACACTTTCCATATCGTTTCAATCATAAAGTTTCATTTTTTCATTCCATTTTGAAATTTTTTACAATATTCATTCATTTTATCTACGTACTGTCATGACTCGTTTTTATAGGTCGGACCGGCACTAGGGTCCAGATAAGCTTAAGGCCCCGAGGCCCATAGTAAACCTGAACCACTAAAATGCAACCATACCAAATGAATCTCATAATTATATTATATTTTGGCCCAAATCTAACATCCTAAACATTTCATAGTTCGAGTCCAATTACAATACAAAACATCCTTAATGTGGGCTAACAATCTTATGCATTCATATAAATAAATTACTAAACCTCTTCGTGAGTTTATCGGTTAAAATCCTACAACTGCGGAGTTCACTAACAAATAAGTATAAATAAGTTTTAATACATATA